GAAACCTGCAGTGCACCCAGAGACGAACACTTGTGGGGTTTAACAGCACCAGGGCAGCCAGGGCAGAGGAAGAAAGCGGCTCTGTGTTCACATTGCTTGCAGGCATCTGACCTTAGCAGAGAAGTTCTGTCTCTTTCCGTTGCCTTCTGGCTTTGAAGCATCCGAGCACAATTTGCTTCACATTTGGATTCTTTTGTCAATAACCGTAAGACACTAGCTTTGAAAAAAAAAAAAAAAAAAAAAAAAAGACGATAAATTGATATTCTTATAAAATCTACTAATTTCAGCAGTTCAGGCACTCAGATACCAAATATTGCGATACAGAAACAGAAATCTTCTGGTTGTCATTTATTTAAGCTGGGGTAGGAGGAAGACCGTGTCACTTGGCAGGGGGTGACGAGAGCTTAGGAGTTAGCCAAGCAATGGCAGAAAACAAAGGCTTAAACTGCTTGCTAAGACCAAGCAGTCTAAAAACGGTAGGCATGGGACTACTGGAACTTGTCTGTTTAATACTCAATGATATCAAAGAAGCTGTGGCCCCTCAGCTACACTGTCACCTGCCTTCCCTTGCCAGCACTGCTGTGTGTACACATTCTGGCTGCACCAGAGCGGGCTGGCTATAGGTAAAAGGGTACTGTACACAACTGAAGTAAACAGGGCTCTATCTTTTTCCTTAGCTCTTCCCTTCTCACCTCCCTTTCTTCTTTTTATCTATCTGCAGAGGTAGAAGTTTCTTCCCTTGCCCATGCTGTGAATTAATTGCACATTACTGGGAATTCAGGTAACCCAATAATTGGATATATACAAGCACCTGCACCAACAAGCGTTGTAAAATCCTTCTTTAAAGAAAAATATCTGCAAGGATAGGATATGACTCTTCTAGAGACCTCATTCAGAGCACGCAAATAAGCAAAGCAACAGGATGAACTCAGTTAAATAAATGCTTTAAGCTCTTCCACAGCGTCACACTACAAAAACAGAGAGGGTGCAGAGAAAATAAGGCAACAAAGATGTGCTTAAGCCTAAGGTTTGCTGCCACGGAAGTTTTTGAGACTGCCCGCTCACTTCAGAAGCAAAGTGACTGCCAGATACACGCGACCTGCCATTCTCAGGGTCTCTCCAAGCTCAAAGGCAAGCTCAGGTTTCACAGTGTCTTAATTCAACCCTAAACATCCGGGCCCCTTCCAACCAGCCTTACCTGTCTCTGGGTAGCATCCCCCCTATTATTACCTTTTCCTTCCCCTCTTCCTGACACCACCCCTGCCATTTGCTCTTATCTCCTTCCCCCTCCCCAATACTTGATCTTCCCCCCTCTGAAGGTAGGGAGCCAGCTGCCAGCCATCAGACGTACTCTACTGTGGCCCCTTTGCTGTGTCTGGATCCCCTCTGAACTTGGACATCTCACCCCAAATCTGTTCCTGTTGGGACTTCGCAGATGCAGCCCCTTGATCTTTTCATATGCATCTGCGATGCTCTTGTGCCTCCCCCACTGCTGCTTTCTTCGAGTTTTTTTCTGTGTCTGAAGCTCTTATCGACTCTTCAGGACGGAATACACGACTGGCACCGCGAGGTCTTGAAGCCCCGTCTCACACCTCCCAGGAAATGGCTTCCTTTATCAGCTCACATCCCCCTCCTAACCGCAAAGCTTGAGCCGGGAGACACTGAGGAGTTCCTTGCTGCTAAAGACAAAGAAAGGCAGCAGTTTAATTTTCAATGACTAACGTATCGTGTACATAGAGATGTTACCAAATCCTAGCCAAACAAGCCAGTCACCTTTCAGAAAGGACCCAAATGCTCATCAGATCACATTTATTTTAACACCCCGGCAGATCTGTGCGTGCAAGACTGGACCTTTATTTGTGAACTGAAATAACCAGGGATAACTACTGGCCTGCATGAACAGCATCCTGTACAGGGGTCTGGTGTCACCAGGATCTGACACCACCCTGGGACACCCCTGTGAGCAGAGGATGACGTGCAGGGTCCTGCGAGGAGCAAAGGTGCCACAGCGAGGACCTCCTCAGCACCCCACCGGGGCCCTGGCAAGGTGCTGAACAGCCACGGTGGGCAGGCAGCTGGGATTTCTCAAGAATAAGCTTCAACACATCTGCAAGCAGTCCCAAAGCGAGGACAATATGCAGCTCACCTCCTCAAACTCTTCATTTTTGCAGCTGTGAGGACCAGAAGCACAAACACTGCTAAATAACAATTTTAAATTATAAACATGCGATCACAGTGAGCTCTTAGAATACTACTTAGAAGTGTGGATGTGTCTAAAAACATGAATCCCAGTGTACCTACACTGGGAAGGACTGAAAAACCTCTAAAAACTTTCAGAGATTGTAAAGAGCTCTGTCAGAGAAGTTATACAGTAACTAGAAGCAATTGGAGGCTGGGGGTGGGGAATGAAGTGTTAATTCTAAAGGTTTCCTTTTAGGCAGAAAAAAAAAAAAACAAACACTTGAAAAGCCAAGCCTGGCATGCATTAATGACTTTTGCTATCAGGGCTCTGATAGAGAAGATAGAAATTATAAGGCAACCATAAAAATATCTATGGCCTCCTATATATATATATATATATATATTTTTTTTTGTAAGAACACATATTAGTTAAGCAGCCATTGCTTCTTCAATATGGCTTAAACTCAAGCTTTTACAGCAAAAATGCTGTTTTGTTTTTCCTTTAAGGAAAGTAAATCAGGTTAGTGTGACCACTGCTACTTTTACCGTTAGGCTCCATGACATGAAAGCTTTTGCAGTTGCTGTCCATTTTCAATTAAAAATGAGATATACATTAGGATCTCCAAGACACCAAGTCTCTGCAAGTGTAGTGAAAACACTCAAGGCAATGAGAGACCCCTAAATTTGCACTGCGAAAAGGTTCAATGGTTTTAGACACGAGAATTCATACTGAAGACAGACAGACATACACACACACGCAGCAAACATCATATCAATATCAGGGATGCTTCCTGAGCTACAGTTCCTTGAATCAGTACAGCAGAATCTCAGCTTGCATGTTCAGATGATGACTTTGTTACCATCAGCAATCTGAGGGAATATCAGCAGATTGAAATGGAAAAGGCTGCAAAGCCATCGGGCCAACAAACGCAGGACTCACCTTCCTCTCCCAAATCCCCGTGTTTCAGAGCCTGCCTCATCCTTGCTGAATGCCTGAAGTTGTGTAGAGTAACCTGAAATAGTGAGGTGATGGTGTGTCCTTCACCCGCAGCACGAAGCCCTGCTTCCATTGAGGCAGAGGTGTGTTTTGTGCTGTGGGAGTCCCCTCGGCACGGCTACCTCAGTGCAAGGTACTCCCAGCACAGACGTGAGCACGTTTCTCTCGTGTCATCCACAGATCAGCTTCCAAGTGGGCAGCAATCTGTTACCTACACAAGGTAGTGAAAACAATGTCAATTTTCCCCTTAGCTATCTCAATTTTTGCCATGTTAATTCAAAAAAGCGAGACACTTCTGGGCTTGTGCCATAGCTCTGCATCTCAAGGAGAGATGCAAGATTCTTCTTTGTGCCTAGCCAGGACAAAAATAAAGCCAGGGTGTGGAACTGGAGGGGGAAAAACGTCTGAATGCCTTCCTAAATACTTCCAAGCCTTACCTAGCACAACTCCAGGCAGATAATGGCACTTAGGAGACACTGGAAATGTCAGACTAAAGGGACACATCTGGATGTAAAACCCGTTGGGGAAAGGAAACTCTGCCGAATCTAGACAGAGTGCTTTTCCACACAGCAGGAGGCACACCACGATCCCTGGCAGGCATCACTTCTCACACATCGGAGGAATGAAACTCTGCAGGAGCTGTGGTGAGCACTAGGAGGGGAGAAAGCCGGCAAGAGAAAACAAAAGAGGGGTCTTCTGTGCCATCCTGCTTTCCTGTGAGGCAGCCAAAGACTTGTACTTTATTCTCCATCCAGCAGCACGCTCCTTTAGAATTAGAGCACCGAGCCCTTCCTTGCTTCTCCTCAGGCTTACAAACCTTGCACACCAGGGCAATGCAGAAGGGCAGCTACCAGAGCCCTACAGAGGAGATTTGTGTGCAAAGCTCAGAGCAGTGGCTTTGGTCTTGCCTCCGAACCACTCTGCTCCCCTGTCCAGCACACACCTGTGCTCAGCACCCACTCATCACCAAGAGGCATCAAAGCGCCAGCCAAAACAGGAAGGGAAATTCAGGCGAGGAGCACGGCAGTGATCAGCACCACAGGTGTGCAAGCAGTCCGCGCAGACAGCACCTTCACACGGCTGTGTCAGCCCCTCGCCATTAAGGCCTGTGAATGTGCACTAAAAACACAATCTGCGTGTGGATAATTCAGTGACTGAGCATCAACCACAAACCCTGGAGTCTGTATGTTTGTAACCCTGTATCGAGGACCCCAGCCCTCTCCTCTACTGTGGCAAAGCTTGCTTTTCGCCTTTTTATGGCCTATAGATGCTGCATCCATGAAAGCTTTCAGGCCTGGGAAGTGTCCCCAGTCACTTTCCCATCATGGGAAGCGTGGTGGCTGATGTTACAGGACAGTTATTGGATCACCTCTGGTACATGAAGTGCAAGGGGACCGCTTCTGGCCTGCAGCGTACCCCAGCAGCCAGAGATGAAAGAGCGAGCCCATTTCCAGCTGTAAGGGTTGGGGATAGCTCCGTCAGCTCCCGGTTCTCGCTCTTTCCTGAGCACATATTCAATATACATCGATAAAGCCGCAGCCTTAAGGGGCAGTCTGACACCAACACCCCGCTCTGGGGCAGCCTGTCCCGGCTGTGCCCCCATACAGCCAAACCCCCCCCCAGGTGCTGGCAGCCCCAGAGCCACCCCAATCACCCCATTGCCACCCCACCCCACCCCACGCTCCTTCTCCCCCTCCCAGCCATTTTGGGTGATCCATGAGGGGGAATCCACATCTGAAACCAGCACGGGCGGCTCCTGGCAAGCTGGCAAGCACAGCCTCGTGTCTGCAGGCACAAACCCCACAGCACCGCCACCCCATTGCCCTCACCCCTCACCTCAGCGTGGTGCCCGCTCCCCTCACCTGCCTCCCGCGGGGCCGGGGCCGCCTCCCCCTGCCCCTCCGCCCCTCTGCCCGGCTATAAAGCCCCGGGGGGCTCGGGGCCCGGCCCGGCTCAGCGCCATGGCCACGCTGCGCTTCGGGGAGCCCTTCCCGGCGGGGAGGTGGCCCCGTGAGGCGGCGGCGGGCGGCGGGGGCCCCGGGGTCCCCGGGCCGGGCTCTGCCCCCACCCCCAGCCCCGTGGCGGCGCTGCCCCGGGGGGTGGCGGAGCCGGCGGCGCAGCGTCGGAAGCGGACGAGCTTCACGGCGGCACAGCTGGAGACGCTGGAGTCGGTGTTCCAGGACACCATGTACCCCGACATCCACCTGCGGGAGAAGCTGGCCGACGCCACGCACATCCCCGAGTCCCGCATCCAGGTGAGGGGCCGCCCTGCCGCTCACCGCCCCCCGCACCCCCCCCCCCAGCCCCAGCCCCAGCCCTCACCGCCGCCCTCTCTCCCCGCAGGTTTGGTTCCAGAACCGCCGGGCCAAGTCCCGCCGCCAGCGGGGGCCGCCCCGCTCGGGCTGCAGCCCCCAGCCCCCGGGCTGCCCGCAGGGACCCTGCGCTGCCCGGCCCCCGCCGCCCGGCTGCCAGTGGCCCCCCGCCGCCTTCCCGGGGCCGCCGCCGCCGCCCCCCGGCCCCTACCCGGCCCCGCGCGGCCCCTGCGGGCGCTTCTCGCCCCTGACGGAGGCGGCCGACAGCGGGGGCTTCGCGGAGCCCGGCTCGGAGTGGGAGGAAAACGCCCTCGGTGCCTTCCGAGCCGTCTGAGAGCCTCCCCGGGTCTCCCCCCCGGGCTGCTGGGACTTAGCCGCCGCCGTTGTGTTAATGGAAGAGGTGCCCTGCCCCGCCACTGTTGCACTTTATGCCGGAGTGACAGACTTCAGCTATTTATTTAAGGGAGGAGAGGGGGCAGCTCCACCCGCCGACGGCAGCTTTCTGCGGATGGAACATTTTCTGGTAGCGCCTTTCCTATTTCTCCTTCACCTTCCTCAGCCAAAAAGCTAACCCAACCCGCTGGGGTGGGGGGTGGGGGCTGGCCTGGCGTTACTTTTGGAGAGGAAAAGAAAATAAAAGTTTGCATTTTTGCTCTGTGAGCTGGGAAGTGTGTTCATGCCTCTGGCAGGAATGGGGTTTCTTACCTCAGCGGTGCTGGAAATCCCCGTCCCATGCAAGGTCCTGGAGTGCCAGAGCTGCAGCTCAGAACAAGAGACCTAATGGGACTGAAGGGCAATTTATGAAAAATGTCTCATCTCTGTGGTCAGTATTCACTTTACTTTACAATTACATTTTCATTGAGGGGAAAGCATAAATTTATGACCTAATTAATGAAAAAATACACCTCAAACTGTCTGCTGGCTCAGTCAGTCTCAACTCTGCCACTTTAGCCAAGTTAACATGAAACTAGAAAAAAACTACAATACGATTTTGTGTACCCTGTAAAAGCACATTATTCCCAGTCAAAGCTAAAGTGCTTTTACAGGGTTCACAAAATACAATCGTAGTTTTTGTCTGGTTTCACAACTGACCCAGCACACCAGTAGGTTTTATGAGCATCACATGAGAAGGCTGGGGGTGGGAGTCAACAGCAAGAGGATGGTTCTTTTTCCCTGAGTTAGCTGTAGGTCGTGTTAGTTACTGTCAGACTAAGCCTTTGTGCCTTGCATTAGGCCTTGACGCTTTTTCTCTGTTTAAATGAAAAGTGTGGTGGCTGGGGGCCTGTCTGTCTTCTTTACCAAACAGATGGTAACACCCCAAAACACAGGAATTGTGGGCACTACTACAATGCTCTGTTACATTACAAGAGGTAAATGTCCATGGCTAACTCAAGCAAAATTACTGCTTAGTATTTGGGAATACCCCTCATAAGTTTTGTATTTATCTTTTAAAATAGCTACCCACCTTGTTCTGCAGCCCATAACATTTCATTTTCAGAAATTAACTTCCGTTGAAAAATGACCTGACACCATCTGCCAAACGTTTGCATTTTTGTGAAATATATCAACTCTCATAGGTCAATTTATTCAGTTACAAATTTCACTGAGAATAAAAGATTTATGCATTTCTCTTAATTAACAGAACAAGTTTAGCTAAATATAAACTCTGCACTAAAGTTTTGCAGTGGCACAATACCAACACAGAATACAGAAGCATCTTTAAACTATACAAAATTTTAAAATTGAAAATAATCCTGTTTACATATTCTTTATACATTAACATATAAAAGACCTCATTTAATGAGGCATCTAAAAGAATGAAAAACATCTCTACACCTATCTTTGAAAATTCATATCTGGAAACGATTCATTACACAGAAGCTTTACAAGACTATTTAAACAAACCAATACATACTTTTTACAAGATTAACATTCCAAAATTTACTCATAGGCAGGTTGTCACTTTTTATTTTTGCAGTTTACCTCACTGGTTATATTTCACTATAAAAATCTTCATATTTATATATGTTGGATATTGTTGGATAACCAGTAATCTAATTCAAAAGTTGTGCAAAACAAACAAAAAAGTTGGAAAAACTGTATGTTTAACCAGTCATGTATATAAAATACCAACTAAAACACTTTCTTTGCCCCATGTAAAGGGAAAAAACATAACGACTGTTTCTGAAAAGTTACATTTTTATATTCCTTCATTAGACTCCTTATATAAGTTATGATAAATTAAAAGTTCCAATAAGACGCTGACTGATCTACAGATCTGCCCAACATCCCCTAGTTTGCAACTTCCATTCACTGTCCATATCCCACTGCTGCTTCTTTAGATCAGGAACACTCAGCTTGTGCTGTCACCGTGCTAGCTGAAGGGTGAAATGGCAACTCTCGGACACCTACAGGAGTGTAGCTTTAAGGAACAAAGACCTGCCATCTGCCTAACCCATGTGAGCCATTTCCTCTTCATCATTTCGAACATACCATGAGAGCCAACGAGAAGAGGTGGGCAGAATTAATCTGAACTTTTAAAACTAAGTTCAAATTATACGAAAATACATTTTCAGGTTTATTATAATAAATGCAATTACTAAGAGATTACCAGTTAGCAAAACTATTGTATGTGGATAACAAATGGAAAAATCTAACATAAGGTTGGCCAGTAATGCTGGTTTTCTTAAGAAGCAGATATATTATATTTAAAAGGGTCCTTTCTGAGAGGTTTTCTTTTCCCTTATCTTCTGGCAGTTAGGATATTTGGTGAAGCCTATGTAAAGGAAGAGGATTTTCCAGAACTACTTGCTGTACACTTAGAAAATTTTCAGTCTCTGTTGGTGTTATTAGCTGCAAAGGCATGTAAATTTCCCATCTGGCTCAGACCACTCTGAATATGTGCAACATGGATCTCCACATTATTCTGAAAACAACTACAGAGGAAAAAAGAAGAAAAAAAGGATTAAACCTCAAAGTAAAAGTCACATCTGAGTATTTCTACAAGTTACAAACATAGATTCAGATGAATGAGTGAGTACTACATACTCGAGCAACATAATAGAGACATATAAAAGTAGCACTTGCATGAACAGCTGTACGAAGTCAGACTTACTGACTTGGGTGTTTTAAAAATGACTGTAACATGGTTGGAGTTAATGAAACAAAAACATGGTGAAAAGATGCTAAAATACCCAAGCTAAGTACACTGAAAAGATCATCACCTTAGCAGTGTTTATCAGTTGATCCGTTCCAATTTTTGACTTGCAGTGTTGATTACAGAGACGTTTCACTAATATTTGGATTTTATTTTTGCTTTTACCAAAATGGAAGTGTGCTATAAAACTTTTTTTAAATTTTAAATCAAAAGGCCGTCTTACTATCTGCAAAAAAAAATTTCATGCACATGTAGCCTCCCATTATTACATAGCAATATGAATATGGAACGTATAAGGAAACACTTGGCATTTAGGTAATTTCTTAAAATTATGTAATTCAGCAGCCATATAATTGAAAAAAGTCATGGCCACAAATTCTTGGAGACTGCAGAATACTCAGGAAAAGTATCGCCACATTCTTGCTATCTTTATAATGTTTCCTCTGGCACCTGCTTCTGACAACTGTTGAAAAATGGATACTAGATTAGATGGGCCTTTGATCTGGCACAACACGGCTGTTCTTCTGTTTCTTCATTTAAAATACTGCTAATGGAAGCTGGTCGTAAGCTCTAATTGTCTCATATACCAGCTTTTGATATTTACAGATGAGAGATTGAGTAACACTGCAAAACAAATACTGAAATTGTACTGAAAGTGATCTAAAATAACTTGTTAGTTGTCATGACTTTCTTGCTCTTTATTTTAGTTGTTGTTGTATCCATTTAACACTTTTTAAAGATCAGTTTACTTTACTGGAAACTGCTAATTTCACACTCCCTTTAAGAAGACCATTCCTATAAGTATGTTACCAGATTAAAACTCTTATCCATAATGAACATTCACCTCTAAAATACAGCAACAATTGCTCGCTGGTACAAAACGTGTAATTAGGAATTAAGTATTTAAAAAGTAATACCTGATATTTGAGGAATCTATTGAATTCTTAATGTCATTTAATGAATCTGTTAGTGATTTAAATTCAAAGGAATTCAGGTCACCTCCTTCTGCTAGACACTGCAGGAGAAGAAAAAAAAAGTTCAAACAGTTCAGCACAAAGAAACTGACAGAGCCTTAATACTAATTGGAAACACTATTTTTACAAACATTTTACCTTAATCTGTAGCAATATTGCTGTAAGCCTAGAGATAAGATCAGTTAAATTTTCGCTTTGAACACAAAGCTGTCCTGTAGTTGAGGAATTTGCTTGCCTAACAATCTCCTGAGCCTCCTCTTCACATCTCCGCCTCAGATCTGTTGGTTGGTCTGCAGGTTGGAGGCCTTGGTCTGGAGCAAGCTGTACAGATAAAATAAAGAGAAATGAAGACTAAAGATCTCCTTTTGCATTTGGTGCATGAGTGAAGTGACAAGTCATTTCAAAGAGAGTCCACAGGTACATACCCTGCATTCTGATAAGAGAAACAGAGAAAAGAGACAGAATGAAACTGATAGAGCTGCTACTAGTTTCATTTCCAGGTGAGTACCACCCATGCCCTATTCCCAGGAAATATATATTTTTAAAACTTTGTTTAAGCAGAAATAACAAATTCATACAGATTCCAGCAAAATCTTACCTCATAACAATACTGTTGAACTTTATGCAACACTTTATTTAAGTCTTTGTTTAGTTGTTCTAGATCTAGAACAATAGTTGCATATCTCCTCTGAAACTCAATACCTATTGGCATAGAATAGGATTTCTGTGGAAAAGACAAAAGCATATTAAAATTAATGCAATACTTTACATACATACCTTTTGAACTCATCAAAAGAAATTTTCAATTTAAAAATAATACTGAGGTATTTGAAATCCTAGTGTCCAACAGGAAGGTGATAACATGCAAAATCTTAAAACCTAGTAATGCGATTTGCAACTCCAAGTGACAACTGTGTAGTAACTAGCATGCTTTTATTCTCTGCAGTAAGTGCTGTGATAATCTGTGGTGCTAAATACTACAGATGATAACTGTGACCTGACCTAGTTATTTCACCAGTAGCTGGGAATGACTTCTTCCTGCTGAAAGAACTGCATGAACCTGCATGACCCTGTCAGTAAGAGGACAATACAGGACAACATGGCCACAGCCACCTCTGTTACAGGTGGGAGGTACACTTGGCTAGTAAGTTAGTGGTCATCTGAGAATAATTCTAGTGCTACATACCTTCTGTTACAACTAACAGTTCTGCCAAGAAATAAAAGTTACTATAGCTTACATTTGGTAACAAATAGTTTGGATAAGATCAATTTCATAAAACAAGCAAACAAAACCAGAATACAGTACTATTTTTCTTACATTGCTTTCACAGCATATCTTGATGTTGTTTGGGTAATATTTATGAAATTGAAACAAAATATACAACGTATTGTAAGTTTCCCCTACAAATGGCCTCTTCGGTGATAAATTCGATACATTTTCACTGTTCCTCTGCCACAAGTCTGAGATACAGACACCTCATACAATCTTATAGGCATAAGATTACAAGAGATGAAGTAAATTTC